AATACCTGCTGGGGGTGGTGGCACTGCAGCGTGGCAGTGGATGGTCTGACGCCATCCCCTGGCTGGGAGTTGCAGGCAGAGGAATTCACACTAGGAGGGAGGTGCACCTGTCTGGCAGGGAGGGGAATTAGCTGCTGGCACAACTCCCTGAGGGCTGCGGTGGATTCTCCATCCCGAGCTGTGCGTGAAGCTGGACGGGAGGTTTGTTTAAAAGATCTGCCTTCGTTCCCCCCCACAGTTCATTCCGGGCCCTCCCCAGTGTGCGGGTTTGCCCAGGTGATCCCAGTCCTCCCGTCCAACCTTACAGCTGGGAATTTTCCAGGCGACTGGAGTGGTGGCGAGCTGAAACGTGGCTTTTGGAGTGGGGTTCGGAGCCCCTCTCAGTCACGGCAGCTCTGGCGTTCCTCGCCCTCATCCCACCCTCAGCTCCCCTCTCCTCCACAGAGACTCCCCGCGCGCCTCAGAGCCGGGTTTCTGCTGTGGGAGAAATCAACCGGCTGCCGTCCTCTTGCCCCCTCGTAAGGCAGCAAATCCGAGGCCCAGGCTGGATGGTTCCGGGGTGGGGAGCAGGTGTGGCCGAGGGCTGGATTTCGTCCTCGTTGGGGCGGGGGGGTTATGGCAGCCACTCTGGCCCAGAGTGAAAGCTGAGTAAATAGCAGGGCTGCATTCCTGCCAGGAACGTCCGGGAGCCGGAGCCTGCTCCACAAACCTCTGCTTCTCTGCAGGGCGACAGCGGGGAGATGGGTCTAGCTGGGTTATCAACCCCCCAGTGACCAACCCGGGTCCCCTGCAACCCCCATCACTTCTCCAGGGGCTCAGGATAGAGCCCAGGAGTCCTGGCTCCCAGCCCCCTCGTTCTAACCCACTAGTCCCCCACCCCCCTTCATTCCGCCTGACCCCCCGCACACGCCTCCTTCCTTCCATCTATCCGTCCGTCCATCCATCCCCATACACTCCCCGTACATTCTCCATCCATCCCCCAACTCCCAGCCGTACCCAGTCCCCGCCAGCCCCTCCCTGCTGGGGGCTGGCACTGTGGCGGGGGGAGGCAGGGGTCCCGAGAGGAGCCATGACTCTGATCTCAGTAGCTAGGCCCCGTGAGGCTGCGGGACTCCCTGCCACAGGACCTGGCTGAGCAGGGGGGTGGGGCTGAGGTCTCGGAGCCATTGCTGGGGGGGACGGGGGGTTGGGGCACCCTGTGCCCATCAGTTTCCATGGAAACCCTGTATCTCACCTCCCACCTTCCCCCACACAGATCCCCGACCCCAGAGCCGAGATGGAGCTGGTCAGGAGGCTGCAGCACGTCAAGAAGCCAGGTGAGTCAGGGCTGTGAGGGGCGGTGCCGTGAGGGGGAGGGCGGCCCCATGGCTGACATGGCCCCTCGCCCCAGTGCCCATGGGGTGCTTGTGGGGGGGCCCATGGCTGACATGGCCCCTCACCCACTGCCCATGGGAGGTTGGGGGGGGGCGTGGCTGACGTGGCCCCTCCACCCCGGTGCCCATGGGGGGCCCGTGGCTGATGTGGCCCCGCGCCCCGGTATCCATGAGAGTCAGGGGGGGCCTGTGGCTGATGTCCCCCTCCCTCCAGTGCCCCTGAGCAGCAGCTCGGTGTCGGTGTTGCTCCGAGGCTTCGTGGCTGACGTGAGCTGCGAGCTGCTCTACAGGAACGAGGAGCCGGGGCCCGTGGAGGTCGTGTTCAAGTTCCCCGTGGACGCTGAGGCAGCTGTCTACGCCTTCCGGGCCTGTCTGGGTGGGGGCCTGCATCCAGGCCCAGCTCCACGAGAAGAAACAGGTGCTTGGGGGCAGTGGTCCCGTGGGGGAGAGAAGAGAGGGCCGGGCTGGGGGGATCTTGGGGTGACCCCGTCTCTCCCGGCAGGCGCAGGAGCAGTACAAGGATGCACTGAGTGCGGGGCAGAGGGATGTCAGGGGACGGGGGGATCTCGGGCTGATCCCGTCTCTCCCGGCAGGCACAGGAGGTGTAAGAGGATGCGGGGGGCAAGGAGATGTTGGGGGCAGGGGGATGTCGGGGGGCAGGGGGATCTCGGGGTGACCCTGTCTCTCCCGGCAGGCGCAGGAGGTGTACGGGGAAGTGCTGGCCGGGGGGCAGGGGGTCTCACCGTGTGGCACGTGGGAGGGGCAGGGGGATCTGTGGGTCTCACCATGGGGTGCGTGGGGGGGGCTGTGGATCTCACCGTGACGGGGGTGGCCACTATTCATCTCAGGGTGACCCTGTCTCTCCCGGCAGGCGCAGGAGCTGTATGGGGACGT